TCCCAGAGCACAGGTTAGCCCGATGACCTTAGCTACAAAGGTCTTGAGGGTGAGGTATTCTTTTAGCACCACTCCCCGTAGAATGGTCTTCATCTCGGGGATGCCAGACCCTGTAGGGGACACATGTCCAGGAAGTCATTTGATGTATCCTGTACAGGAGGCTCTGACTCCTGCCCTTCTTTCCTCTCCTATCATACCAACAGCCTGAGGGGCCAGGATCTGTGTGAATCCAGCTGAGAAAGTAATGAGGACGACTGGGTAGGTGACCCAGGCCAGGTACTGGAGTAAGATGCTGGTGTTCAAGCCCCGCGACATCCACTGCTGAGCTGTGGGAAGAAGACATGCTGCTGGACCTCCATGTGCACACCCACTCGATGCCTGGCCCCTGGGACACACTGTTATGACAAGTTCTTCCAAGGAATATTGCTGGGACACAGATGGACGGGAAGGGGCCCTAGAGGGCATTCACTGGGACCAAGCCTATCACAGGTAAGCGGATCAGTTGGATAGGGGAGGCAAGAAGCTGTAGCCTGGGAGAGGGGGCAGTCAGACTGGCTGGGGAAAGTGGTCAATGACCAAGTACCCAAGACACCCCCACCAACTATAGCATGGAGGAAGCAGGGTGACCCGCCCCAGCCCTTCCCCTGCCAGCCCTTGCCCTCACCCTGCAGACAGACAGCGATGGCATAGTCCATGGCCCAGCTGACCAATGCCATGAGGAGCCCCAGTAGGACCAGGAAGATCCAGTCTTCACCAACCCTGGACACTAGGAACTTGTGGCAGTGTACAGAACAGACTAGGAGCAGGGAAGGGAAGATCTATGGGGAGGCTGGTCCCAAAATGCTCCTACCCCATCCTGACCTCTCCCGCTCCCCCACTGGCAGCTATAATGATCTCTGCCCCTTTCAGCACAGCACAGCCAGGTCCCCTGCCCCAACCCAGGTCTCACTGCGGCATCGGGCACAACGGCTCTGTCCGTACTCCAGGAGCTCTGGGGGAGTCCGAGTGGAAGGGGACCCCTTCCAGGGCTCAGGCCCTCCCAAGCGAATCCGAGCAGCTTCCTCTTTGGCAAAGGCCCCGAGTTCCTGAGTATACCGGCCATACATCTGGAGCAACGGGGAACATTGCGGGCATCAGTGTGTGGGGCTGGGTGGGAATGCAGGGAGGGCTCCTGGGGATTGACCCCTCCTTCCTCCTAGGCTCTACACTGTATATCCCCTGTTAAACCCACAGTTCCCACTCTGGCTCAAAGTGTGGGAACAATGCACAGTGCAGACTGTGGGGGCTGTCCTGGCTAGAGGGATCAACAGCCAAGGTACAGCGACAGAGCTCTGGGGGTGGCAGAATAATTGGACCTCTTCTCACAGGCTAGGGTTGGGGGCACTGAGGAGCAGTGGGAGGGAAGGCCTCAGAGAAGGGAAAAGATGGAAAAACCTAAGGTACAATCTGAAGGTGGGAGGAGGGAAAGTCAGAGAATAAGGAATGGTCAAGGGCATATGGGCAACAATAAGAGCCTGGTGGAGCTGAGGGCAGCTGAGATGAGTCTAGGAGCAGGCGCGGCCCCAATCCTTATCACGTTCCTGCTGGGCCTCTGGCCTGTGACCAACTCAGCTGCACTCCTCCTACCCACCCTAATCCCCTTGTCCCCATTCTCCACCCCCATCCCCACTTGCCTGCCAGCCCAGCTGGGAGTGGAAAGCCTCTCCGGATGGGTGGAGAGTGCTTGGTCGCCTTAGCCCCACTCTGGAGCTGCCCAGAGTCAAATGGCAGGTTGGGGGACAGCAAAGGCTGTGACTGTGGACGCTGGGGTGATGGGACGGTAGAGTCAGTCGCCAGAGCTTTGGCTAGACCTGCCAAGCTGGGCATGTGTTGGGGGGTGGGGAGGAGTAGATTCCGGCTGCCACCCGCAGAGCTTCAGGACACAAAGGGCTCCTGTTGGGCCTCGGGTGGTGGTGGGGGGGGGGCAGGGAAAGATAGAGACACAGCGAGGGTGAGAGATAGAGAGTGAGGAAAGGGAGAAGCAGAGGGGAGAGAAGGCAAAAAAGAAGGGGTGAGGGAAAGCAACAGAGGAGAGAGATGAGAGAACAGAGCAGGGAGGAGGAAGAGAGTAGAGCATACAGAGACAGTAGGTGGGAGGAGGTGAGAGAAAGACAAAGGGTAGGAGGAAGAACATGGAGAACCTGGAGCAGAAAGTGCCCTGCCAGGAGAGAGGTTGACCCCGAGAGCTCATTCCAGAGATAGAGACACACGGAAGGAGATGGAGATGCGGCTGGTGCAAACCATTTCGGAGACTAGGTGCTTGGCTTCTTTGGTCTGTGCAGATTGACAGATAATCTCCCACCCTATGCCAAGGGCCTGTCCCTCTGCCCTCACTTTACTTTCACACCCACCACCTCTCCCAGTCATTCTGTTTCATACAGTCACTCTTTCTGGTAATTGGGCACCTCCCTGACTCAGTTATAGCCTAGGTCCTCTCCTCCTAGAGAGGTTCCTCCCTGCCACCCTTCTGGGCAAATTCCAGTCCAAGCTGATAAAAAGGAGCCATAGGACCTATTCCTTTTACTAGGGTTTCGGTCCCCCACCCCAGTGACAAAAGAATGGCTGCTCAAATACCAACTAACAGTGGTGCCATGAGTCAGCTCCAGAGCCCAGGACCCCAGCTTCTAATGAGGTCAAGGGACATCCCTGGAGTGGGTGGGGGCTGCCTACCCTACACGGACAAAGGTCCCAATTCCCACACCCATTCCCTGTTTCACCCATTCTCCCTAAAGCTCCTGTCCTCCAGAGTGGCAGGCCACCTTTTCCCAGAGGAAGGAATGAAGGATTCTTATTTTATTTTTATAAACTTATGTTTGCTGTACAGGGGTTTGAATTCAGGGCCAAACCTTGAGCCACTCTATCAGACCTTTTTTGTGATGTTTTTTTTTCGAGATAGGGTCTCCAGAACTATTTGCCCAGGCTGGCTTCCAACCTCCTGATCTCTGCCTCCTGAGTAGCTAGGATTACAGGCATGAGCCACAGTACAGGGCTAAGGAATTCTTGTTAATATTAGTGTTTTGAGGCTCCAAAGGCAGGGGCAGGAGCTGGGACTGGATTTGGATCTCATCATCTGCCTACACAGTCTTGACTCCTATGCTTAGCATAGTGCCATGCACATGGCCTGGACATAGGGAATGTCTGGAATGATGGAGACAGCAGTGTGCAGAAAGTTCAATGGTGCTGGGGAAGGGGAATGTGGTGTTGAGACGTGGGCCCAGGTGGGAGGAGAAGCGAAGGGAAGGACACCTGGGACAAGCATCTGGTGTCATTGTCCTCTGCAGGCACCCAGTCTCAGCCAGAAATCAGCCAGCAGCTTTCCAATCCTTTGGCCCTTTAGCCTCTCAGACTCCCGAGCCTCAGTTTCCCCAGTTTAGAAGGCTGAGGCATGGCTAGAGTAGGTCGCCAGCCCTCGCGCTTCCTAGGGAACCTGGAGCAGCGGTGCCCAGCGTACCCCTCAGGGCTCGGATCGACTTCACTTACCAGGGTCTGCTCATAGTGCAGCGCCCGAGGCTCCATCCCTTCCTCCGCCGCCGCGGCCGCCGAGGCCGCCATCTCCGCTCACTGCCCTCTCGCCTCCGTTTGCCGCTGGGGCTCTGGCCTGGACTTGGTCCCCGGCCCGTAGAGCCCACACCGGCACCCGTTCGGTCCCTGCAGCTCGGGCGGCTGAGTGAAGAGTGCGGCGGGATCCGGGCGGGCGCCGCAGGCTCAGCCTCCTGCTCGCGTCCCCTCCTTGGCGGGCGGGACGAGGGCGGTGCCCTCTGCGCCGCTCCGCCTGCTGGCCCATCCGGAGGGGCCGGCCCTGCCCGGTTGGGGTCTGCAGTGGGGCCGCCTCCCGGGCTCGGGAGAGGCGGCAGGGGGCGCTTGGAACGCGCGACCCGGCGCTCCCTAGCCGAGGAGGCCTGCGGCTGACGCCGGCACACCCGGCCAGGGCGAGGGCGGGTCCGCTGGCACGTGGAGGGGCCGGGCTCGCGGCTCGCTGTGCGGGGAGGGAGAGGCTGGGGATGCGGGGGTTCAGTAGGGTTTGGGGCTGAGGGCTGGAGAACTTTCTAAATAGGGGTTGTTCCATCCTGATTCGTCTGGGGCAGCCCCTGGTCTGCTCCTCCAGAGGAAAGGCGGTTCAGACGTCCCTGGGAGGGTCACTCTGCCGGGTCAGGGGTGAGAAACAAAAGCTGAGGCGATTCAGAGGGGCTCTGAGCCATGCACCTCACCCCCACCCTTTCTTCTCCCTTCCATCCACGTTCCTGCGGGGAGGTGTACCTGGAGCTACCGGACTTGCGGGGTGTGCGGGGGTGGAGGTGGGAGGGGCTGGGAAGAGGTGAGGCCAGAGGGAAAGTGAGCTGTAGGTGCCGGGGAGGCCACTCCAGGGAGGCGGGCGTGGGGGAGCAGAGGTCGCTTTTTCCTGGCAGGGCCCAAGGAGAAATCCGAGTAGCTGGTGACGTCTCGCCGCCTTGGGGGAATGGCCTTCTGGGGCTCCGCGTTTTCTATCAAGATCCTTGGAAGGATAGAGCAGGGTCCGTGAGCATAGGGTAGATGGGCAGTGTTACAGCTAGTGCCACGGGACAGGACAGTGCCCAGGAAACGGACAATGTGTGTGGGAGGGCGCAGTACCAGGATAAAGGCGCATTCGGGAAGCAGAGACGGCGTTCAGGGGTGAGGCAGTGCCCAGAAAGGGGGTAGGTAGTATAAGAGAGGAGCCAGCATCCCGGAAGGAAGGGAAGTGCGAAGGAAGAACTGTCCTTTATACCAGGATGAAGGCGCACAGAAATCAGTGTCCAGAAGGAGAGGGCAGTGGTGAGGAACCGGGCAGTGCCAAGTTGAAGGGGCAGTGCCCTGGTGGGAGCACAGTGTGAGATCAGTGCCGGGCGGAAGGGGCAGTATGAGGGAAGAGAGCTGGGCCCAGAGGAAGAGGGCAGTGGTGGGGAGGGTGCAGCACCAGGGGAGGGGACAGTGCAGAGTTTCCTCTTTCCCACAGTGACATAATCGCAAATTCTCAAACCGGACGGACCCGGCTCGGGTGACGGCTAGCAGAGCCGAGCCGGCCCGGGCCTGCGCGGGGGGCCTCGGTGCCAGCTGGAGGGGCTGGGCACTCTGCCCTGGCCGGCCGGCGCTCTGGGGGCAGGGTTCTGCTCCGCCCGCTCCATGCGCGGACTGTGCCCTCGGCGGGCATGCGGGCCGGCAGGGTAGGGCTAGGGCCGGGCTGCTCTGGGTCAAGGATCAAGGTCCCTGCCTGATTAGGTCCCCACGCATTCCACTCTTCGAGACCTGGGCTCTGAAGAGGGCGCAGTAGAGCCCCAGCAGAGCGTGACAACCCGCGCCACCTCCACCAGAAGTGGGACCTATTAGATTCCCGCCCTGGGCGGAGTCACTTGGCCCCAAGACCCGCCCCTAACACCCTAGCCTTTCCCAAGCAGTCTTTCGCAAGCGGAAGTTAAGAAGCCCCGAGAGGGAAGCGGCGGAAGTGGTGGCGTCCCTGCAGGTCCGTGCGCATGCGCCATTTGACTCCCTAGTTGCGGCTCGTGGAGAGCGAGGTGGTTTTTCTTCGTGTCTTCTTTTCTCCACGCCAGGGGTTTCGCGAACCCGCAGTCGTGGCCGCGCGCTCGTCATTTCTGCTGCTTTCGTGGCCCCCTCACGATGGCTGGCATTCTGTTTGAGGATATTTTCGATGTGAAAGACATTGACCCGGAAGGCAAGAAGTTTGACCGAGGTAAGTGAGGTGTATTCGAGGGCAGAGACTACCTTTGGGGCATGCCTCTGGGTCCCCGGACCGCCCAGATCACGTGGCCTGCCCCAACCGGTGGGTATTTCCCTTAGGAATCATTTCGTGGATGACCTGGCTTCACACGTGCCATCATGCCTAGTGCCTGGGTGGTCCTTAGCCACGGTGCTGGCAAACTTCTGGGCATCTTTATAATCGCTTCCCACTCCGATTTAGGCTCTGAATTGTGCCTAGCTCTCACCACTTTGCTTTATTTATTACTCTCAAGAGTCCCCGTGAAGTAGGTGGTGCCTTCCCCCATTTCCCGAGAGGTTAAATAAGCTACCCAAGGCTGCACAGCAAGTTATCTTGACTTCTGAACCTTATATTCTTGTATTGCCTCGGAACCTTTAGCTGTTTGTGAAGTTCTCTCTGGGCTAACGCTTACACCTCTTTATTCTGCCACTGATGGAAAACTGTTTGTACTTGCTGTAACTTTCTTCGCCTGGAGACTGAGATGTTTTATAAGACACCAGTTCTTATACACCCTGATAATTCCCTCAGCACAGTCCCTTCCACAGAAAGAGGAAACCTTTGGATGAATGAATAACTTGTCCAGACTTAGCTTGTAAGCCATCCAGGCAGGCTTAGACCCTAGCTACTATGTGCTGCCAGAGGATCTTTGATTCTTTTGGGGGAATCTGTTTACTTGCCATAGATTTGCCTTATTTCTTGTGTTTCTGGTTCTGATTGAGCCTGCGTTTCTATGAAAGCAGAGGAGAAACCATTGGTTGCAGACTGGATTAAGTTAAATGCTCTGTTTCATTTAATCCCCAAATTGCCCTGGGCGTGGTAATTATACCTGTTACTCTTTTCCTCCTCATTCCCAGTATCTCGACTGCATTGTGAGAGTGAATCTTTTAAGATGGATCTCATCTTAGATGTAAACATTCAGATTTATCCTGTAGACTTGGGTAAGTATAGAACACAGATTATAACAAGAGGTTGTTGGTTTCTTCTTGGTTTCAGTTATTCTTCACTTTCAGATATTACTGTTCTTTTCAGGTGACAAATTCCGATTGGTCATAGCTAGTACCTTGTATGAAGATGGTACCCTGGATGATGGTGAATACAACCCCACAGATGACAGGCCTTCCAGGTGGGGAAGTGGAGAAGGAACAATGTAGATAAATGACATAGAAAGACCTTTATTTAGTTCCTAGAAAAAAAGTGATTGTCAGCAGAATCTGAGTAACCTTAAGGAAACTACCACACTTAAGAATTCAAACAACCAGGTTTTTAATTAATTAATTTGGTGGTATTGGGGGTTGAACTCAGGGACTCATGCTTGCTAGGCAGGTGCACTACCACTTGAGGCATTCCACCAGCCCTTTTTTGTGTTGGGTGTTTTCAAAATAGGGTCTCAAGAACTCTTTGTCCATGTTGGCTTTGAACAGAGATCCTCCTGATCTTTGCTTCTTGTGTAGCTTGGATTATAGGTGTGAGCCACCAGCACCTGGCTGGAAGTCTTTTGGCTCTAATGTTTTTTTGGTAGTACTGGGGTTTGAACTCAGGGCCTTACGCTTGCCAGGCAAGCTCTCTACCAATTGAGCCACTCCACCAGCCCTGGCTTATTATTTTTGGAGAGCTGCAGTTACATGCTTGTGTAGCTTTTTAAAGGCTGAGGAAATGACCATTGAGTGACCTTGATTATGTGGGCCTGTGTCTTGTGATGGAAAGGCTTTGGACCATCTCTGAGTTCTGTTCTCAGTTCTACCATTTTATTTGCCCAATACCCTTAACTTCTTTCAGCCTCAGTTTCCTCATCAGTAAGACAGAGCTGGTTATGTTCACAGGAAACTTATGTTTCTAAGATGTCTGTTGTTACAATGCTGGCATTTAGTTACCAGTTGCCATTTTTAAAGGGCCTCCTCCTACGTGGTTAATTGCTGTGAGGAATAACTTTGCCACTGTTGTTCCACAGGGCTGACCAGTTTGAGTATGTCATGTATGGGAAAGTGTACAGAATTGAGGGAGACGAAACTTCTACTGAAGCAGCAACACGCCTGTAAGTTCCATAAACTGGTGAGGATCCTTTCTTCTCTCTGTGTTCTGAGAATTTGGGCCACACTTCTGCTTCCTGTATTGAGTTCCTCTCCTCAAGCACCTCAAAGTGATGTGGGGCCTAGACAGAAATTGTTCTGGTAATAGTTTCCAGTCTGATATATTAACCGCTCATGTTGCTTGTTAGGATCTCAAGACCCAGTGGTCCAAATGAGAAACTAGTAATCTCACTGTGTAAAGTGCAAAGGAGAGTGGCTGTTTTTATTTGTGTGTGTGTGTTTGCTACTAGTAACCCAATCTCTAGTTCTTTGGTTTCTCTGCCAGACATTTTTGTTTTCTTTAAAGTTTTATTAAAGCAATGTGGGTTCTTTGTAAGAAATTTGAAAGGCAGAAAAGTAATATGATGAAGGAAGTCACCTGCAGTTCCATACCCAGAGGTAACCTTTTACGTATATATTTTTGAATATTCTAGTTTTTTTAAATGTCTACATTTTTCTTTGAGATCATATGCTCCATTATAATTTTTTTTATTTTTTAATGTATGTAAAATATGTTTCCCCATGTTAGCTTAAAGCTTTCCCAACATTTTAGTAGCTGTATAACGTTCCAGTAAGTGGGTATATCTTAATTTATTTGTCCATTTCCGTAATTTTGGGCATATGGATGTTTTCCATCTTTGCTAGCATGTATCTGTGCTAATTGTTTAAACTTTCGATTCTTAATGACAGAATACTCTTATGTTGGGATGGAGAGCTTCTGGGTAGCAGCTGCTGCAGAACTCAGACTCACAGAACTGGGCCTTCTGTTTCAGCTCTGCGTATGTGTCCTATGGGGGCCTGCTCATGAGGCTGCAGGGTGATGCCAACAACCTGCACGGATTTGAGGTGGATTCCAGAGTTTATCTGCTGATGAAGAAACTGGCCTTCTGAACCTCGTGGGAAGCCAGCCCTGTTGCTGGTTATTCAAGTTATGGACATTGTTCAAGCCTGAAAAGTTGCTGTTTACCTGTTAATGTGGGACTGACTTTCTGTCCACTGTGGGTGCATCTTTAGCTAGTCTGGATTCAATGGGAAACTGACTTGCCTGTGAAAGAGCCAGTGGGAGGGCTTCACATAAACAAGAAGTTTTGTGTATATGATTTGTAATTAAACTTTACTTTTTCAGACTCCCTTTTACTTTTTTTTTTTTTTTTTTGAGACCCGATTTCATTATGTAGCCTAGGCTTCCTTTGCCTTGTGAGTTTAAAGAACTGTGCCACCATGTCTGGCTTCCCCTCCCCCTTCTTAAGAAATCCTATTTTCTTTAAAAAACCTTTTTTTCCAATTTGTCTGTGGTGTGTTTTGACCCATAGCCATCACATGCCAATGTAGGATCTTTCCCAGCCTTTTAGTATCTGGGCCTAGGGTTATCTCAGTCTCCTGGTTGACTGTTCCCAGCATTTGTCCTCCAGTGTGGTTTTCTATGGGAGAGAGAGTGTCGTGTTTTGGCTCTTAAGGGTAGAAACCCAGGCCCGGAAGATACCACCCATTTGGCATAGAATTTTGAATTGGCGAGGAGCCCTGCTCGTGTTCTTCCAACTCTTTCAGTCTCTTAGGAAGTCAGTTCACGCTGACTTGAGTGAGTCACTTGCATGGCCTGGAAATGTTCATTTTTATGGAAGCTTTGGATAGAGGCTTTTAGGCATGGGTTATAACTGGCAAGAGGAGGAAGAGATTACTTGGTGATTGTGGAAGCAGGTGGAAAAGCTGTCTGTTCTCTGTTCTGGTGGTGACCTGAGAGGGAGGGTAAATGGTGGCTCTTACCAGTGACACTGAACAGGGAGTTGCTGCACAGACCAGTGAAGCGGACAGGGTACCAATACCAATGAGGTTGGCAGTCCAGTGCCAGGGCCCAGGACAATGCAGGAATCTGACTCTAGAATTAAGGAACAGTGATGATCACAGGGACTCCAGCATGTGAGCTGGCTCTTCAGCCTGCCATTAGAGGTATCTGAGAAAGCATATGGGACTCTGTTTTCCCCTAGGAAATTCAGGGTAACAACCCAGAAGAATTCTCTGTGTATTAAATGGTTGTCTCTTTTGATGTCATGATTTTGCCACAAGAGTTGGTCCCCCTGCTGAGATGCCTGGGGTGTTTCCTTCCCCATCATTTTCAGGTCTTTTGATGAGGTATTAGAAATAGTATTTAGGGAAATGGGTTGAAAATGAATGGCCTCAGCAGGGAGGAGGAAAAGGTGTTTCTTTTACCTCATCACAGTTGGAGTTGGGGGCGGGTGGTGGGTAGGCAATGCATTGGGGGTTGGGATGAATTTTTATGGAATCTTAGAACTTTTCCATAGGTTCAGAATTTTTGAGGAGTTGGAGAAACAGATTTAGGTTAGAGTGGAAGAACCGAATTACCAATAATAGCATGTAGGATTTCATAGCAGATTGTCCTGACTATCTTTGAATGGCAAAAGAAAGAACTGATATAAAGTTGAATAGAGATAAGAGTATTTTTGTTGTGAATTTTTTTTGAGACAGAGTCTTACTGTGTAGTCCAGGAACTTGTGATTCCCCTTCCTCAGCCTTCCCACAACTAGCTTGGGTTAAATTCTTTTAAAATTTTTTTAGTGGTACTAGGCTTTGTCCTTGCTAGGCAGGCACTCTACTGTTTGAGCCATACCTCCAGCCTCTTTTTGCTCTGGTTATTTTTTGAGATAGGGTCTTGCTTTTTGCCCAGGCCAGCCTAGACTTTGATCCTCCTCTATTTATGCTTCTGATGATAGCATAAGGCACCACCACACCCAGCTTTCTGTTGAGATGGGGTCTCACAAATTTTTTACCTGGGCTGGCCCCAAACCACGTTTCTCGTGATTTCTGCCTCCCAAGTAGCTGGGATGATAGGTGTGAGCCACTGGTGTCCAGTTCTGGGATAGGTTCTTAAGAGGGGCAAATTGGTTTATACTGGAGAAGCTTGTGAGTTACTTGCATTTGCCCTGAACTGGAGTAAATGAAATGCCAGTTATCAGATGCCTGGAACTTTCTGGTTACATTTGCAGTTTTGCCATTCTTATTTCTCATGTGACTGTGCTGAGGACCCATAATTCTTAGGTCCCTTTGGCATGTTTTGTCCTGGGTGCTGGCTCCTGCATATGCCATAAAGTGCTTTTTTTTTTTTTTTGGTAGCACTGGGGTTTGAACTCAAGGCCTTGTGCTTGGTAGGCGGCACTCTATCACTTGAGCCATGGCCTAGTCTCTAAAGTGCTTCTTTTGATCATGAAATATTTTTGATGGCTAAGTTTAGCTTACTTCAATATTTGAGTAAATTAAAATTTCCATTTACCATTCCCTTAACTGCCCATCCTAGAATTTGTAGTGTAAGTGAACAAATTCTCTCCCATGTAGAAAATGGCACCATCTGAAATTTAGACATTTTTGAGCTTTATGTGTTGATTCCTGTTCCATGGTAACTTCTGCCCATGAAGGGAGACAGGGATACCTGGAGATGTCCTTGTTGGCCACTTCCACCAAGAACAGTGATTTTCTACTTAGAACTCTTTAATGGTGTACTTATTCCTTAAGAACTTAGAAATCTTTTGCAATAAGTAGAATTGCTAAATGATATACTTACTGGATAGTGCACCACACTGGGGAGACTGTGGGCTTGAGAGTGAGTCAGACTAGGCTGTGTGACCATTGAGAACTCACCTGGCTTCTCTGAGGTTTGGTTTCTTCATTTATAAAATAGAAATGGATTAATACCTACCTTAAAGAATTGTGTGAGCATTTGAGAAGGGAATGAATATATGTACACCTCCTGGCCTTCACCCTGTCTTAAAATTCCTTGGGGATCTTGGGTATTTGTGCAGTATGTGGAACTCGGACCCTGGCCTCTCCACCTACATGGAACTTTTCCTCCTTTCTTTGGGGTACTACTGAGAAAAAAGGTCTCGCTAAGTTTTCTTACAGGAACCTCTGGAGGTAGCAAGTTGGGCTGCTTTTTTTTTTTCTTTTTGGTCAGACTGGGGTTTGAACTCAGGGCTTCATGTTTGACTCTACGGCTTGAGCCAACCCTTCAGTCCCAGGGCTGCTTTTCAGATGTACTTACGGAAATTGGGAAGTGAGGCTTCAACTTGTTCTTGTGCTTGCCCTCCTGCAGTGTGATCTCAAGCAGCCGGACTCAAGCCACTTCCTGCACTTCTCCCTGACCTCCACAGGAGGGAGGCAGGAGCCCAGGCCTGGGGAAGCCTCCTGCTGAGCTGCTGATGCCTAACTGTTTGCTCAGCTGCCATATCCAGGTCTTGTCTTTACTGAACTGTCTGCACAGCCTTACCTGAGGTGTGGGGCTCTCTAGGCTTCCTGTTAGCTTTCTTGGGGGGTGGGGTTGGGAGGGAATCTATTACCCTGTGAAGAACATCTCTCCCTTGCTTTTTAGTTAGCTTTTGGGTAAATGAGAATTTATTTTACATGCTCAGTTTTGTCTATTGTATAGGGACAGCCTTTGTCTCTCTGTCTCTGTCTCTGTCTCTGTCTCTGTCTCTGTCTCTCTCTCTCTCTCTTACACAGGTTCTCGCTATGTAGACCAGGATGGCCTCAAATTCACCATCCTCCTACCTCAGCCTCCTGAGTTCCTGGGATTACAGCTGTGCATCAATAGGACTGGCTGCTCTTGGAACAGCCTTTCTAAGAGATACCTGTTACTCATTTACCGAAAGTAAGGATCACTTAAGAATAGAGGACCAAGCAGAATGATAGTAAGCAAATGGGCATAGGAGGGCCTTAAACTTGAAGCAGAGGAAAACTACCTTTTCTATTTTTCTGACACAAGGTCAGTCTCTACTTTTGTTCAAAGGCTAGGCTAGTCCAGGCTTTTGCAGAATTACCATATGAAAAAGCATGTAGTGAATTAGTGATTTGCAAATTTATGCAGAAAATAGACCAAAGGTTACTAGCTGCTCTGATGAATATTGTTGGCTTAAAAAAATAGCTTCTGAAGTTTTATGATATACAGTGAAAAACAATCCCTTCTGTCCTGTGTATCCTCCTTTGCCAGGGCTTTAGGTTTCAGGTGAAAGCAGGACATCTAGTACAGGTATAGTTAGTTCTCTCCCAGGGAAGGGAACCTGAGAGACACTCAATGCTGGCAGTGCCTGACTACCTTAGCCTTCTTGAGACAGATTCTGGGAGTGAGGGTGAGCTGTGATTGGAAGAGGGCTGGTAGGGTTAGGCATGATAGCAGAAGGGTCAGGAAACGGGTGGAGCTGAGGTGGAGGCATGGGGGTGGGCAAGGTGGGTGGAGAAGAGAAGAGTGTGTACTGTCCAGCAGGAGATTGGGCGGGGGAAGGGGGATATCCTTCCTGAAGGAGGGGTGGCAAGGAGCCTATGTCCAAAGCTCCTGGCAGAATGTCTGAGGCTTCTAGAGTTCTGGGGGAGGCTCCAGAAAAGAGTCCATGAGTTCCATTCAAGGCTCCTTGTGTCCTGTTCAAGTATCCAGGGATTTGGTCTGGAGACCTGGAGGTTTGATTCAGCAGACCAGGAATCTGGGCTGTGAATCCTTGCAGCCTGTTCAGAAATCCAGAGCCAGTAGTTCTGGCCGAGACACTGAAGTTTGTCTCCAGCCATCCAGAAGTTCTGTTTGGGAGCTTGTTCAGTGTGAGGAGTAGAGAGGTACTGTTCAAGACAGTTGTGGTGGGCAGGGCCCGCCTGACACAGAGGGTGGGCCCTCCTACAAGCAGCAGGAAACGCACCTTTCCTCGGAGCAGTTGTTGGAAGTTCAGAAAGATGGCATTGGGATCCTTGTGAGCTGTGGTCCTGCCCTGTGGAGGAAGCTGAGGGCAGAGGATGGGCCTGAGGCCAGAGGGCAGGCCCAGATATCAGGCCTCCCTTGACTATGCAGGAAAGGGTGCCAGCACCCACAAGTTATGGCTGGGAGGAAGCACTCCTCATAGGTCAACTCTTGGACCCAAAAGATCCCTACGGTCCCCGTTCCTTCCTCTGGTCTTTAGAGGGACTGAGTCAGAGAAGGATACTTTCTATAGGTCCCTTAACTGGGGGGTCTTACCTGGGTTCCAACGAGGCCCTGCAGGGCCCCAAGGAGGAGGCGGACCTGCCCAGAAAGCTGTCCCAGGAGGGATGAGAGGCAGGTGGGTCCCAGCTGTCTCCGTGCTGCCATCACTCCCTCCAGTAGAAGGGTCACTGCTCCCAGAATGTCCTGTGCCTTGGTCTGTTCCTGGGAAGAGATGGAAGAGAGAAGCGGGCTGCTTCAAAGGGCATGCTAATAGCGGGTGGGGAGCCCGTAGGAGTAGCCAGCAGAATGAATCATAGGAGCTGAGAATTGGACAGGACCAGGTCCCACCCAGTACAGGAATTCCTTCACAGTCTCCCGACAATTGGTCATCGCCCTCTGCTTCAATAACTCCTGTGTCCGCCAACCCAGCCTGGTCTTACACTGACTTTCAGTCTGAAAGTTCTGTCCTATTATAGTTTAGCTCTAGGTTCTAGTGCTGCAAGTCTGTTCTTTCTTTTACAAAATCTTTATAGCCTTTTATTTTATTTTTTTTTAAATAAAAGAACTATAGCCTTTTAAAAGTAAACATACAGATGAAATTTAAAAATGAAAAAAAAAAAGACTTAACATACAAAAAAAAATAATGATCATAAAGGTGAAGGGAAGGGACTTATTAATAAATGGCAGAGTGAAAAAAAAAAAAAGGCAGAGCTGGAACTAAAGCAATCCAAAGGAACTGCCCTTCTCTCTGACCCAGTGCTTCTAGCAGACTTGAGGGAAGGAAGGGGCTTCCAGGGGTCTTGGGACAGAAGAATTGACCTGCCAACAAATTCTCTCTCCTGGGAGGTTTGCAGAGTCCCAAGTGAAAGCATTTCTTGCTATACCACAAAACTACCACTTTTCTCCAAGTTAATCAGATAGGTTTGTGGTTGTTTTGCTTTTAACCATTCCTCATATAACATGATTTCTAGCCTCTTCAGGTTGCTTCCTTCTGGACATATGTTAGTTTAATGTGGTACCTCTTCATAACTAATATATTCCCTGAGATGGATGACTAGTACTTAGGTCAGTACTTTTAAGTACAGTCCACTCAGATAGAGGTCTTTAGGAATGTTTTCATAATGTGATGCTAAACATCTCAAAGCAGCCTAGAACTGCTAGCTTCAAAATAGCTTCTTCAGGGCTGGGAATATAGATCAGTGGTAGAATGCTTGCCTAGCATGTGCAGCACCACACACACACACACACACACCCCTGCTGCTTCAATAACGTTACATGCTAAGTTTGGGGTCTATTTAACACTCCCAAATCTATTTTTAAAATTTGTATCTATTCATTTATTTTTGCAGTACTGGGGTTTGAACTAAGGGCTTCCTGTTTGTGAGGCAGGTGCTCTATCTACCACTTGAGCCATATCTCTAGTAGATCTTTTTTACAGGAGGTACTTTCTATAGGAAGTATAATCTTTTTATAGGAAGTACTAAGATTAGAAGTTTAAATCAGGGAAGCAGGGTGCCATGGCCTGCTTTCAAGCCGGAATAGTAATATACTCAATTTATACATGTAGAATTACATATATGTGTGTGTGTGTATATATATATATAGTAGAATTACATTTATATAACATGTAGAATTACACAAAGATACATTTATAAAATCTGTTAAATTTCACATTAGTTTTTTAAAAATTAGTTAATTTTTTTGTGGTGCTTGGGATGGAAGCCAGGATCTTGTGCATGCTAGGCAAATGCTCTACCATGGAGACATATTTCCAGCCCTTGGTTTTTTGAGGCAGGTCTCTCTATGTAGCTCAGACTGGCCTTGAACTTATTATGTAGCCTAGGTCAGCCTTGAACTTTCCGCCCTCTTGCCTTAACCTCCCCGGTGATAGGATTATAAGCATGTAACACCATGTCTAGTAGTAATTTGAATCTTGATTCTGGTTTTTGTTATTTTAGGAGTACTTCCTAGCTTTGGGTCATCTATTGATGGCAGATAAGTCTTCCTTCTTCATGTCAATTTAAGAAGGTTGAACAGGAATAGGTCAAAGGCATGGCCATGAGAGGCTTCTGTCCAGCTTTTCATGGTGTTCAGCTTTGAATCTATTTAATATTTTGGGTCTGAAATCCATTATCTTGTCCGTAACAATCATCACAGGTAAATATAGACTGGGTTAAAATAGCCAAGCTAAAGTGAGATATTTTTAGGGAATTCAAGAATTTTGAAGGATTCATTGGAAGCAGTAAGGACCTGATAACCACAGAACTTTAGGAAGCCAAAAAAAGTAATTTCTTCCTTCCCTCCTTCCCCTTCCTTCCTTCCTTCCTTCCTTCTTTCTTTTTCCCCTCTCTCTCTCCCTCCCTCCCTCCCTCCTTTCCATCCTTCCTTCCTTTCTTGTGCTGGGGATCAAACCCAAGGTCTTGCACATGCTAGGTAAGTGCTCATTCTATTACTGAGCTCTATACTCCAGCCCAGGGATGACTTTCTTACCATTTGAGTTTTCCATTCTCCCAAGCTAAAGTCTACAGCAGGCAGCAAGACAGGTGTGGACAAAAGGTTGACGTCTGGGCACTGGCTCTGTTGAGAAAGATGGGTAGGGGGAGAAAGGAGCTGAAATAGAGAGGGATATGGTAAGGTAGACACTAATATTTAAAGAACAGACTGCACTCCAGTCTGGCCTCACTTGCAGCTGTGTACCTTGGGAAGGTGACAGTAACTGGAATAGTCTTCCATGAGCATATGTCCAGACTAGTGCTTCTAAAAGAGGCTTTAGTGCAAATCATAATCCTTGCCAGGGAGTGGTGATCAGGTGTTCTTACCAAAGATGATATTGGAAGAATAGTCATTGGTCAGAGAGTGAGAGGAAGTGAGAAGTGAAGGTACCTTACCAGTTATAAGTGGATTGAAGGGATATTGCTTGGGAATTCTCACCAGTCTGCTGTGAAGGACATAGGAGTCACGAAGCAGTTTGTTTAGGAGTCGGGGGTCACAGGCAGGAGGAGCTGGGCTGGACAGAGTTAGCCTTGCAGTAAGAAGAAGCATGACCACGAGGAGCAATTCTTAGATGAGAAGTAAGGTTGAAAGGGTAGACAAAGAAGAAATCATCAGGTGGTGATCCAGGATCCAAACTTGAAACCCAAGGGGTCTTCTGCTGAGACAGACAGACACCTTATTCCTGGGAGATTGGGTCCTCCCAGCCTCCCACCCTTGCAGGATGCCTCCTTTTTCTTTCCCTGTGTCATGCTCCCATCTGGTCCTAGCCCCTCAAGTGTGTTCTTACCAGGCAGCTCCATTCTGGCCAGGGTGTCTGGCAGGAGTGGCTCCCTGTATGGGGCCTCTCCCGTGAATCTTTCCTGGGGCCATGGAGGCGGCTTGGCCTCTTGCACTTCTGGGCAGAGCAGGGTGGGGCACGGGTGGGCCGAGAAAGAGGGTCTGGAGACTATCCTGAAAATGACAGGAATAATGACCATTTCATCATGCTTTAAGAAGAAGTCAGAAGGGGAAACACACTGGGAGGCCTTGAGCTGCTGACCAGCCCAGAGCTGCTAAAGTTCTGACTGCTCCCAGGTTTCCTTGTGATTGTAACATATGGTGCCTCCTTTTTGTCAGGGCTCTTCAGTGACTCTGACACCCCCTCCACCCTGCCGAGAGCAGCAGGATGTGATATGCATACACACACACATCTTAATTGGCCCCAAATTCTGAACAGCCTTGGTTGTTAGGTGGGAGAAAATGTGGGGTTGAGCATAGAGAAGGGAAGTACTGTGGTGCAAGCCTGGAGAAGAGAGTAGAACGTGCGATACGGGGCCAGGATGAGGAAGTAGCAGACATGCACAAAAAGTTGACATGCAGTTTCAGCATTGGGGAGTGGGGTTGAGGAAGGGGATTGGGTAAAGATGTAATTGGGACCACCAGAGGGCAGGGATTAAAAGGTGATGTGAGAGAAATTAGCCTCTCATTCTCTATCCTACACATAAAGCTTCCTGGAGTTTTTCTTTGCACTCTAAAGTCAAAGAGATGGGCTAACAGTCTTGGGACTTCCTTCCTGAAGCAAGGGGCTCAGGATTGGGCACCTGCTGAGCAAAGTGATGCCCACCTTACATGGCTTACCCACCAACATATTTGTCTCATAGCCCCACCTGCCTCCCTGCCCCCCTGCAGACCTCTTCCGGTTCCTTCACAGGACCCCCCACGTGGCTTCCTCCTCTTTTCACAAGTTGTGCAAAGAGGCCTGCACCTGATTCAATATTGGGATTTCCTGTAGGTCTGTCAACATACACGAGCCTCCTCTCATTCCCCTCTCCTTGTGTCCTGGCTTGCCTGACCCAGCTTCCCCAGCTCCAGGATTCAGAACCTTAAGCTAACAAGGAATGGCCTGGTGACATGAGGAATGGGGTTGTGTCCATTTTGGTAATGCATCTTCTTTCTTATTTTCTCCCTGGGCCCATGTCCCCTTCCAAGGGCCAGCTGGGACTATGCTGTATTCCACAAGTCTATGATCAGTGTCTCAGAAAGGAGCTCCCAACCCCCTACCCCTGCTCTGTCCTGCTCCTCCCATTCTGGGAAGGCTACACTCTTCTCGACAAAGGTCAGTGCCTGTAGGTTCCAGTTTGCCTGCCCCTCCCCCAGCTGAGAGCCTAATTTTTTCCTGTCCTTCATACCATACCCTTACTTAACCCCACACCCGGTTTGCTACTCACCGGCTGGAGAAGAGCTCCAGCACCCAGTTGCACAGCAGGCAGCACTCTGGGGAGCAGATGAGTAGGAAGACATGCATTGGGACACAGTCCCTCCACGCCAGTGGGGTCACACGCCTGCCCAGGCCATTGCTGCCCAATCAGAGAGCAGAGAGCCACCAGACACTGTTGAAGGCCTCCGGAAGTGACGCCTTCTCCTACTCACACTGGACTTGGAGCCCCTGCCTGGACCATGGTCCACTAATGGAGCCCAGCTCTTCCACCCATACACTGCAGGGAGGATTTACATAGAGAGATCCATCTTTTCCTAGGAGATTGGAACCCAGGACTTGGCTGGGGAGAGATGGGAGAAGAACAGAGGTTTTGTCTGGGAGAAAGCTTGGCAGGACATGTTCGTCCCTGGGGAAGAGGCACAGAAGCCCTATTTTAGATTGATGGGGTTTTTCGGTTCCTGGCTATCCAAATTTCTTTACCCTGGATACCACACCTGCTGCCGAAATCCAACAAGACTCTTCCACCACCCCTCTGGAGTCCCTTTCCTGTCATTCTCCCTTTCCAACTGGAAATTGGGTATTGCCTATATTAGAAAATGATCTTGTTAGGAGTCCTGTTATGGGGAAAGGGTATGGTCAGTTTTAGGGGACTGAATAGTGAGGGGTGTGTGCTGGATTAAACCTAGTCTCTTCTGCTAGGGCCCAGGGGCTTGACAGCTAAGCCCACTTACCTTGGCTTGTGCTCTCCTTTGCTTGCCCTGTCTTTTGCTCTCTTCCATTCCTACCACTCCACATGTGACAAGAGCAATAACCAGGCCCATGTGTCCCTGTCTTAGGAAAGACAGCTGCTGAACCTCCCCCACAAATACCTCCCTGCTACCCCCCCCCTTCCTTTGGCCCTAGCTCCTTTGCTTTCCCCTCAGTCTCAATCTCCCCACAGTCTCTGTCCTCGGGGGCCTCCTGGCCTGAACTTGTCCCCCCCCCCAAACACACACACTCTGTTCTTCCTCAGGCTCTCTCCTGTGCCTCCTCTCAAGGATGGGGCTGTCTGCTAAGGAGTGTGGCCTAGATCCCAGAATTCTCCAGTTCAGTCAGAGGAGATGCCTACCAAGATTAGGAAGGAGGGTGCTGGGATAGCTGGGAGGATGGTGGGGGTGTGGGGATGGGAGGAACAGGGAGGCATAACCAAAAACCAAGACAAAGGAGGTTGGGGATGGGCTGGAAAGGAAGATGGTCCCCAGGATGAAGTAAGAGAGTGATAAAGCAAGAGAGTGATGGTTGACTATCATCCCACAAAGAGGGAACACTGCCTGTGTCTGGCTATGGCCCTGACCTGGGCAACTCTAGAATGATGAGAGGCCTCAGAGGGGAGATAGGAACACAGATTAAGCAGTGAGAGAGCCAGGGCCAAAGGACTAGGGGTGCTATGGGCCCAGAGTCAGGGGGAGATCAGTTCTCATCCTTAAAAGACAAGTCTTCATCCTTCCAGTGGTTTTTGCCTAGTGACTGGTCCAGGCCTGAGGTCCAGCCTCTGCCCCTCCCTGGCCTGAGGCTCCTGTTTGAGTCTGGATCCGCACCTCTGGTCCAGCTGCCCTGTGGCCGCTGGCAGAGGGGGGCTCCAGGCCCGCCTCTCCTCCCCTTCTTTGCGCCCCCTGGTCCCTCCCCTCCCCCTGCCCCCTCCGCTCCCCCTTTCCCTCCAGCCCCTCCCTCCTCCCTTGCCCGGTCCCAGCCCCTCCCTCCCCTCCCCCACTCGCGATCCGGGCCGCTGCTGCTGGGCCGGACCCCCCGGGCTCAGCCCGGCCCCTCACGGAGCCGCCGCCGCCGCCCCGTTTGCTGAGGAGGAGGCCCCCGGCCGGGGCGTCGGGCGCGGGGCATAAAACGGGCCGGAGCCGGCGCCCGGGGCACTAGAGCCGCGTACGGCCCGGGTCAGCGCCCGTCCGCCCGCTCCTCCGGGCCGCTCCTCCCGCCCCGCCCGGCCCGGCGCCGACTCCGCGGCCGCCCGACGAGCCCCTTGCCGCACTGCCCCGGCCCTGGCCCCGGCCCCCTCCCGCCGGACCGCCCCCGGCCCGGCCCTCCTCCTCCTCCCTCTGCTGCTCCCTCCTCCCGCCCGCCTCCCCAGCTGTCCGGTTCGCGTCATGCCGAGCCTCCCGGCCCCGCCGGCCCCGCTGCTGCTCCTCGGGCTGCTGCTGCTCGGCTGCCGGCCGGCCCGCGGCGCGGGCCCCGAGCCCCCTGCGCTGCCCATCCGCTCCGAGAAGGAGCCGCTGCCCGTTCGGGGAGCGGCAGGTAGGTGGGCGCCAGGGGGAGGCGCGGGCGGGGAGTCCGGCTCTGGGCAAGTCCGCACCCGCCGGAGCGGGCCCCGGCGCAGGTGGCTCGGCGCAGCGGGCGGGCTGGAGGGGTGAGCCGGCCGTGAGGCGCGTGGTGCCAGGGGACCCAGGGCCGGACGGGCAGCGCCCGGGGCGGGCATACGGCACAAGCGAGACAGCGGCCGCCAGCCAAGCCCGTCCCCGCAGGCTGCTCGTTCGGCGGGAAGGTCTATGCCTTGGACGAGACGTGGCATCCGGACCTGGGGGAGCCCTTCGGGGTGATGCGCTGCGTGCTGTGCGCCTGTGAGGCAGTGAGTGGATCCTGCGGCCGCCCGCCTAGCCCTTGAGCGGAGGGGAGCCCTCCGAGTGGACTGGGAGTTGCTCAGGAAAAAAGAGACTGGTCCACAGATATTTGGGATGTTTTTCTGGTGGATAGCCCCCTTTACGTTTCAGGTGTTGACAACCGTTGATCGTCCACTATGGGTCGGGCTCTGAGCCAGCTACCTTTCGTCTTTCTCTTCCTTAACTCCCATTCCAACCTTGCTAGATAGATACCATTAGTGTTCCCATTTTCCAGACAGGGACCTTGAGAAGCAGAGAGGTTTAAAAAGGTGTTAAGAAACCCTAGAGTCATGCAGCTGTTAAATGGCAACATTGACTCCAGCAGATGATCGACTTTGCTGTGGTCCCTAGACTCTCTCTCCTGATTCTGGGGTCTGACCGTTTGACATCTTGCATTCACTTGATTTTTTTCGTGTTCTCTGCGATCAGCCTCAGTGGGGTCGCCGTGGGAGGGGCCCTGGCAGGGTCAGCTGTAAGAACATCAAACCCGAGTGTCCAACCCTGGCCTGCGGGCAGCCGCACCAGCTGCCAGGACACTGCTGCCAGACCTGTCCCCAGGGTAAGGCCGGCTCTGCTGTGAGGGAAGGGCGGCAGGGCAGCAATACTAGGTCCTGGGCCACTTGGATTGGGGCGGCGGCTGGCCCTCCCGTGGCCTGCTGAAGTCAGTGCCTTTTACTCCTGGCACAGAGCGCAGCAATCCGGAGCAGCAGCCGTCGGGCCTGTCCGAGTATCCCAGGGACCCGGAGCACCGCAGTTACAGCGACCGCGGGGAGCCAGGTGCTGAGGAGAGGGCGCGCGCTGACGGCCACACGGGTAGGCGGGAGCGGGGGTGGGATCATAGCCTGCTGGCGGCCAGCAAAGGTTGACAGTACTCAGACAGTCTTCCTCCCCTCGCAGACTTCGTGGCGCTGCTGACAGGGCCGAGGTCGCAGGCGGTAGCACGTGCCCGAGTTTCGCTGCAGCGCTCGAGTCTAAGATTCTCCATCTCCTACCAGCGGTGAGAAAGGGGAAGGAGGGAGGAGCAGAAAGCCGAAGGCAGGGAAGGGGATCTGGAAGATGGGGCATACTACTTCCGGTCCAGGTTCTGGGTCCAGCCTCACCAGACCTTTCATTCACAGGCTGGACCGCCCCAGCAGGGTTCGATTCTCAGACTCCATGGGTAGCATCCTGTTTGAACACCCTGCAACCCCCACCCAAGATGGCCTGGTGAGATGATGCCATTTATGAGCGCTATTCCAGTCCGGGCACTGTGCTAGGAGCGTGCTTTGTTTTGCCTCCTTTGGTCTTCACAACAGCCCAGTGGGAGGAAGGTCTTGACATTATGACGCCCATTTATAGATGAGGGAACTGAGGCTTGGTAGCGGAATGTGATTTGTTCAAGGCCACACAGCTAGTAAGTGGCAGAGTCAGGATTTGAACCCAAGCGTCTGGCTCCTGGGCCCTTCTTGGGAGGGCTTGAGGGCTCTCTTCCATATTCCTTCCTCACCAGGCCTGAGTTTCTTAGTTGGCCTGTCCTGCATGCTGTCTGATTGTGGTACTTCCTGTCTGTCTGCTCCAGGTCTGTGGGGTGTGGCGGGCAGTGCCTAGGTTGTCTCTGCGGCTCCTTAAGGCAGAACAGCTGCATGTGGCACTTGTGACACCCACTCATCCTTCAGGGGAAGTCTGGGGGCCTCTCATCCGGCACCGGGCGCTGGCCGCAGGTAAGTGGAACAAGGAGACCCTGGATGTGCCGATCTGAGCCTTCTTTATCCTGAGAATGGGATGGGCTAAGGAGAGGATTTCTGATGGCTCTCACAGTCCTTCATTCCCCAGAGACCTTCAGTGCCATCCTGACTCTGGAAGGCTCACAACAGCAGGGAGTAGGAGGCATCACCCTGCTCACCCTCAGTGACGCGGAGGACTCCTTGCATTTTCTGCTTCTCTTCCGGGGGCTGCTGGAACCCAGGAGTGGGGGTAAGCAGAGTGGGGGAAAGTGTGTGAGAAGGCGGGGGGATGTCTATTTCTCAGAAATGCTCACGTGTTCGGCTGTTGTAGAACCAGCTCAGGTTCCTTTGAGGCTCCAGATTCTACACCAGGAGCAACTACTTCGAGAGCTCCAGGCCAACGTCTCAACCCAGGTGAGGGACGGTCTGGCTCCTGCTGCCACCTGCTCTGGCCTCTTGCTATTGCCCACCACACCCTGCTCTGTCCCCAGGAACCAGGCTTTGCTGAGGTGCTGCCTAGCCTGACAGGCCAGGAGATGGACTGGCTGGTGCTGGGGGAATTGCAGATGGCCCTGGAGAGGGCTGGTGGGCCAGAGCTGCGCATCAGTGGACACATTGCTGCCAGGCAGAGCTGTGATGGTGAGTCTGAGTGGGGCCTGGCACCCTAGATACACACATCTGGGAGGCACAGACACCTGCCATGGAGGAGAGCAAGGTGGATATGGGAGAGAGAGCCTGGGAACTCAGGGTAAGGGCAAGCCTACTACCACCTGTCTTGCCCTCTGCAGTCATGCAAAGCGTCCTCTGTGGGGCTGATGCCCTGGTCCCAGTCCAGACGGGTGCTGCTGGCTCTGCCAGCCTTGCATTGCTAGGAAATGGCTCCCTAATCTATCAGGTAAGAGTCAGGGTCTATAGGTGGTGGGGAGGGCCTCAGGGCAGGGCCTTGACCTGCAATAGTTTGGACCCTAGGCCCTGGCTGTCACTCCAGTTTGCCCTCCCCGAACTCTGCCCACCAGGTGCAAGTGGTAGGTACCAACAGTGAGGTGGTGGCCATGACATTGGAGACCAAACCTCAGCGTAAGAATCAGCGCACAGTCCTATGCCATATGACTGGACTCCAGCCAGGAGGACACACGGTGAGGGCTCCAGGTAGATCTGGCCACAGGGCCATGTGCCAGGGCTATCAGTGTGTGGGCTATGGGAAGCTAGGTTGGTTGAGCAAGGATATGCAGTATCATTCACCCACTCATGGGCTCACTCACTGATTCCTTCATTCGTTTGAATGTCTTTCAGTGAACGTTTTTAGTGAATCTTAGACTATAGACTGGAGTTCAAGAAAATCAGATGAGGTCCCTGTCCTCAGCAAGCTGACAAATGGGAGGTGTTAGGCAGAGAGAATAGTGCAGTAGACCATATAATAATAAACGTGATAGTAATGGCTGCTACTGTTGGGCCTTTTGATGCACCAGGTATTGCATTGGTTCCTTATTCGTGTGTTTTTTTGGTTTTGATAGTACCCATTTTATAGGTGAGGGAGTGAAGACTCAGGGCAAGTAACTCTCAAGGTTGTTAAGTGGCTAGGAAGTGATAGAGGAGGGCCTTGAAACTGGGCATGCAAGGTTCTTATCCAGTGTTTGTGTGTGTGTGTGCGCGTGCGTAGCAGGGGCATAAAACATGGAAAGCCTCAGAATCTGGGCTATGTGGAAGCTGAAGGGGCTCATCTTTTTCTGCCCTCCCCTCAGGCTGTGGGTGTCTGCCCTGGACTGGGTGCCCGAGGGGCTCATATGCTGCTGCAGAATGAACTGTTCCTGAATGTGGGCACCAAGGACTTCCCAGAAGGAGAGCTGCGGGGACACGTGGCTGCCCTTCCCTACAGTGGGCACAGCACCCGCCATAATAGTGAGTGCCCCAGGGTCTGTCTGTCCTTCTGTGTTCTCTGACCTGTGATTCAAGCATGTGAGGGATGGTGCCAGAGGGCCAGAACCTAGCATGCTTTTCCTCTGCCTGAGCTCCAGTTGACATCTAGAAAAGGTGGGGTTGTTCAGGGTGGTCCTACTGGCTGACCCTCCCTGCTGCCAGGGAGGTCTAAAACTTGCTGCTGCCCAGGCCCTGCACCTCTGGACAGTGCCTTACAGTTACAGAATCTATGTTGGGGGAGATGGAAAATGCTGGGATTAAGGGGCTGGTCAAGACCACCCTCTCATCTGTCATCTCTCTTCTGTTTGGACCCAGCATTGCCGGTGCCCCTGGCAGGAGCTCTGGTGCTGCCCCCCGTGCAAAGCCAGGCAGCAGGGCATGCCTGGCTCTCCCTGGATACACACTGCCACTTGCACTATGAAGTGTTGCTTGCAGGGCTTGGTGGCTCAGAGCAGGGCACTGTCACTGCCCACCTCCTTGGGCCTCCTGGGATGCCAGGGCCCCGGCGGTTGTTGAAAGGATTCTATGGCCCAGAGGTAAGGATGTGATGGCAGGAGGCAGCTTGGAAAACCTCTGGTTTTTAACTTGAAGACCTGTGGGTCTGTGGTTGGGAAGCAGATGCAGGCATGTGGTATTACAGAGTGGCCATGGGCTTGGGAGTCAGGCCTGGGTGTGAATGTGACTTAGCCTTTTATTATGAGTTGTGTCCTCTGAGGGTATAGTATATAAAATCCAGGCCTCTAGCCGGGTAGGAGGGATGCACCCTTGAAGTGGGTGGGCTGTCATGGATTTAGGATGAGAGAGACCTGGCTTCCAAGGTCCACACCAAAGGGTTGCCAAATGAGTTTGCTATTTTTTATATAATCTCCCTGCATTTCAATTTCTTCATCTGCAAATTGGAGACAGTAGGCTCCAACCTAAAGTGCTTTGTTCCTGTTCCTCATCCTGTTTACCCACAGGCCCAGGGTGTGGTGAAGGACCTAGAGCCTGAGCTGCTGAGGCACCTGGCACAGGGCACAGCCTCCCTGCTGATCACCACCAAGGGCAGCCCCAAAGGGGAGCTTCGAGGGCAGGTAGATGGGCAGTGTGGGCAATGGGAGGCCCCTGTACTAGTCACTTGTGCTCTCTGAACCTGGGGATGGTAGTTTCAAACTGTGGCTGGTAGAGAGGAAGAAGCCACACAGGTGCATAAGGAGCCTGGCAGCCCACCATCATGCTCCTGCATGGCAATGGGCACTGAGGCTAATAGCCTGTGCCTGGGCACTGGTATTCAGGGCTGACAGAATTGCTAGGAGGAGCCTCAGCACTGCCTCAGTGGGCCTCTCCTCCCAGGTGCACATCGACAACCAATGTGAAGTGGGCGGCCTGCGCCTGGCTGCAGCTGGGGCCGAGGGGGTACAGGCTCGGGGCCTGGTGGCTCCTGATGCAGCAGTAGCCCCGCTCTCTGCGCTGCCCTCTGGGCCTGGCCCAGAGGCCCCATTGCCAGTCAAACCTGGCGGCCCAGCACGGCCCCGAGACCCAACATGTGCTTCTTCGAGGGGCACCAGCGCCCCCACGGGGCTCGCTGGGCTCCGAACTATGACCCCCTCTGCTCACTCTGCACCTGCCAGGTAAGAGGCCAGGGGAGGATGCAGTGGGTCCCGGGCATGGGGCCCAGCACCCTGTCAAAGCCCACGCCCCTCTCTGCAGAGGCGAACAGTGATCTGTGATCCCGTGGTGTGCCCGCCGCTGAGCTGCCTGCATCCAGTGCAGGCACTGGACCAGTGCTGCCCCGCGTGCCCGCGTACGTTCTCTGCAGGGGAGGAGGGATAGTGGAGAGGTGCTGTGGCGAAGGAGTCCTCTGGGGAGCGAAGCAGTCCTCTGGGGAGCGAAGCAGAATGGTTGCCCTCTGCCTCACCATTTCTTTGGCTCCACAGAGAAACAAGATGGCAGAGACCTGCCAGGGCTGCCAAAAAGCCGGGACCCAGGAGAGGGTGAGCTGGAAGGGTGCGTCCAGGAGTGGGAGGGTCCAGAGGAGCCATTGGGTCAGACCAGGAGGGGAACAGAGGGAGAGAGTATGTATGGGCAGAGGCCAAGGAGCACAGGTTACAAGTGACACCTGACAGGCCTCATTAATGTTCTTGGCCCATGAAAAGGCACTTGGGTTAGTCTAGTGTGGGGCTGGCCTGAGGCTCAAGCCTTAGTTGTGGGCTCAGCTGAGGAGCTCAGTACTAATGACAGCTGGACACTGTCCCCCACCAGGCTGCTATTTTGATGGTGACCGGAGCTGGCGGGCAGCGGGTACCCGGTGGCACCCCGTCGTGCCCCCCTTTGGCTTAATTAAGTGTGCTGTCTGCACCTGCAAGGTATGGCCGCCCAATCTTCTCTGGTGCCATAACCCAGCGGGGTCTGCAGAGATGGGGAGGGGGCTTCCTTGAGAGCACAGCCCATCCTTGGTGAGAAGGACTCAGGATGGAACCGCAATGAGAAAAAGTCCCTTGGGTTTTGAGAGCAGGCTTCCTGTAAGAGAGGGGAAAGGGCTGACCTGGGGACAAATTTTGCCTCTGCCAACTAATTGGCTCCATCTAACCTTGGGTACTTTCTGAACCTCTCTGAGCCTTCCTTTCCTCTTTTGTAAGCAAATACAGGTGCTCTACACCTACCTTGCAGAGCACAATGATGACTTGAATTCGGGTGCATAAGGCAAGCCCAATCCTCTTAGTAATAAAATCACACATATATTTCACTTGAGGTGGGGAAAGGAGAGGGAGGAAACAGGAGTCTTATGTGTCCTCTCTCTTTCCTGACACTCTCACTCAATGGATCCCTATAGGGGGGCACTGGAGAGGTACACTGTGAGAAGGTGCAGTGTCCCCGGTTGGCCTGTGCTCAGCCTATCCGTGCCAACCCCACTGACTGCTGCAAACAGTGTCCAGGTGAGGGTCTTGGGCATTGAGGCCTCACCCTTTGGGTTGGGAAGGGGGGAGGGGGATGCGTAATGAGGGTAGGAGAGTGACTTCTCAGCAACTTCAGCATTTACTCTGTGGCTAGATTGGAGCCAGCACTTTAAATGCAGTGGAAAGAATGTGCATGTATAGTGGAGTAAGATGGGCTCCAGTTCTTGCCTCATCCACCCATCCATCTCTCCATCCATCCACCCAACCATCCATCCATACATTCACCCATCCATCCATCCATCATCCATCCATCCATCCATCCATCTACCCACTCATCCATCCACCCATTCACTCATCCATCTGTCCATTCATCCACCTACCCATCCATCATCTATTCATATATCCATCATCCATCCATTTACCCATCTAAATTTGTTACCCAGTAAGTGCCAGAAACTTCTAGGTGGTGGAGATTCAAAGAGAAACTAAAGCTTGTTGACCTTTCTGGTCTGACTCTTGTCTTTTTCCCTCCTAACAGTAGGATCAGGGGCCCAACCCCAGCTGGGGGATCCCATGCAGGCTGATGGGCCACGTGGCTGTCGCTTTGCGGGACAGTGGTTCCCAGAGAGCCAGAGTTGGCATCCCTCAGTGCCCCCCTTTGGAGAGATGAGCTGTATCACCTGCAGATGTGGGGTAAGTGGAAGTCTATGTGAGGTGGGAAGTGAGGGCCTGGCCTGGAGAGGGGAGATCTTCCCAGGAATGGCAAACTCCTGGAGGCAGCTTCCCCAAAGGGGCCGAAGGTCACTGTGCCCCAATGCCCCTGGGAACCTTCAGCATCTGCTCTGTCCTGTACCAGGCAGGGGTGCCCCACTGTGAGCGGGATGATTGTTCACTGCCACTATCCTGCGGCCCGGGGAAGGAGAGTCGATGCTGCTCCCACTGCACATCCCGACAGCGTAAGTGAGGGGGACAGGCAGCAGCTGTGGGCTGACTGAGGGACACCTGGGAGGGAAGGCAATCCCAAGATGCCAGGAACCATGCAATCCACAGCCTCACAGTGCTGTTCTAGTCTACCTTTTCACGGTTGTAATTTATTATCATTTCTTTACAAGTAAGATTTCTGAAGCTCAGAAGAATTAAGTAACCAGACTAAGGTCTCACTACTGGTGTATATTGGGTTCCTTAGAAAATTCTGGGCAAGAATTGGAGCCTACTCACTTCACTCTACATACACATTGTTTCCACTGGAGCACTGGCTCCAGGCTAGGCACAGAGCAGTACTCGGTAAATGCTGAAGTTACTAAGAGACCCTTTCGCACCTTCATCGTGCATCCCTTTACCCAGGCCCAACCCCAAGAATGAGTCCTCAGTGTTCAAGCAGAGATGGTCTGCTTGCTCCTCCCCCTCCATGCCTTTCACTATGCTACCCTGTCTCTCTTCCTCTAACATTCACTTGCTTCTATCTCCAGCAGGCCCTGAGACCAGGTCCATTCCAGAGCTGGAGAAAGAAGCTGAAAGCTCCTAGGGAGCAGCCAAGGCCTCATGACCAAGAGGACGGGGCCTGAGCTGGGGGAAGGGACAGCGCTGAGGACCCTGCACCCTCCTGTGGGAAAACCCTGTGCCTTTGGCTCCTCTGTTTTGCCTCTTCTCCCTCCCCACTACCTCTGGGAACCACAACTCCACAAGGGGGAGAGGTGGCCAGTTCAGACCAAGGCCATATCCACTCCAAATCCTGCCCTATTACCCTCTGGCCTCTGCCTGGGAAACCCAATCCCTTTCCTTCTGTACATAATGTCACTGGCTTGTTGGGATTTTTAATTTATCATTACTCAGCACCAAGGGTCCCCTCACACACTTCTGCTGTCCCTGAGCTGAGCAGAGTCATTATTAGAGATTTTTGTATTTATTAAAACTTTTTTTTTTTTTTTTTGGTCTCTGGGCTCAAGGTGGACTCTTTGTGGCCAGGGATCTGAGTGGGCTCCAGTGGAGAAGGTTCTGAGGGCAGGAGATGAGAGAGAGGCACTCTGGCTCCAGGGGCTTCCATCTAACTCTTGGGAGCTGGATGAATCCTGGAGAGGGAACAGGATGGCACAGCATTGGCAGGCAAAACCTGGATTCCACAGGGGGGTTTGAGACTATTCTTAAGATAGGCGGGAACTTCAAGAGCCCAGACAACCTGAAGCAGGATTTACATTGGAGTGTAGCTACTCAAGTAACTAAACTGGTATTTTTGCTGATTCCATGTCTGAAGTTGCTCCAAAGAGAAATAAAACTGTCACCAGTGGCTACTCTGTCTAAAATGAGGCAGTGTTTTCCTGTTATTCTCCTTTCCTGGAAATTAACTATTTTGGAGCAGCTCAAGTGCAAGTCCAGATCAGAGTGGACTGGAATCAGTTCTGGTCCAGTTTTTGACTGAGCTTATCTTGAGATCAAGTGATATGATGGACAGAATAAGATAAGGACACCCCCCTTCCTTTTTCTACCCTTCTTATTCCTGCCATCAGGAACTGGGCATTCCCACAGGCCCCACAGGCTCTAGGGAGATAAAGGTATCAGGATGAAATTTAACACATGTATGTACCTGCAGCTCTGTTTTGTATAAATGATGCAAGGTAAATGAATCTGGGATTTTATGAGCAGGTAGAGCAGAAGGAAAGGGAAATCACAGCCTCCTTAGTTAGTGTTAAGCCTGCTGTGTGTGGTTAGCAGTTACTGTCTTAACCTGTTGTAACATCAAGTTCAACTGAATGTTCTGTAGTTAAGTCACTGAATTATTTCACTTTAGTGAGCCCCATTTCCTTTCTGTAAAACATATTTCTCTTACAGGATACAGTGCATTATGCTGCTCAGTGCCTGGCACATATTCATTGGAAAAGGCACTCTAGCTGTAGTGGGATTTCTGGAGCTGGTTTGAAATAAGCGGCAGGGAGAAATGCCAGGAGGAGAGTGACGATGGGCTCCCATTACATTTGGCAAGATAGTCATGGCTGGCTGAGGATGTAGGGAAGATAAGGATGTGGATAACTTGGCCAGGGCCAGTGCTTTGGCTGTCACAGTGGGAGGAGCATGAAGGCCAGATGGAGATGAGTTAAATTCAGGGAACTGAGCATAGCACCAGGTGTGGTATGATGGAGGATTTGGTCTGCAAATGGATGCACTGACAGTACTCTCCACCCCAGTGAGGGACCAGGGACTTGGGCGGGTCACCCACAGGATGGCAGCTGCTCATCCCACTGTCCTGAACTGCAGGTACTCAGCAGGGCTTTGGAGCAGGCCTCAGTGGGTGTGAGCTGACCAGCCAGTGGATCCAGGCAGAGTAGTGTACTCCCTAACAAAAGTCCTGGAAACACCATCCCAACCATAGCATGCATTCCAACCAAAGCTGGCCAGTCTTGTCCTGTCCAAGCTCTAGGGAGGTGGTGTAGTGACCCAGGAAGTCTAACTCTGTGTAAGGACCTGCATTTGAGGCTACTCAAAGCCCTGGCATGCAGAGACCTCAAGAGGGCACCCCATCCATTCCCTTTTAAGCAACTGACTGCACTATATCAGAGTCCTTTTCTGTTCTAGAGAACCTCTCCCTTCCCGAACTCTAAAACAACAACAAAACCAAGGAGAGGCCCATTTTCCTTTCACAACAGTTACTGGTAGGATTTAAAATTTGGTATCTATCTGTCCCTGGGGCTAGGCAGCAAGCTTTCTATGCTGTAGAGGCTTTGGCCAGAATCCTGAGCTGCTCCAGCAGAAAGAAGGGGGATACATAGAAGCCGCTTGGCTTGACAAACAGGGTAGTTCTGATTAATCTGCTTTTCAAAGAGAAAACTCCATGTGTAATCCTTTTTACGTTGCCATATTCCACTGGCATTTCCAGCGACATTCTTTGTCCACATTTTATATGCCAAATCCAGATTTTGGCATGTCAGGTGACAAATGACACTAGTTTGGAGCTATGGCTTGGTGGGGTTGCCAGCTGCCATTGTTTTACTTTTGGCCAAATCACCAGAGCAGTGTCTATGTAAATCTGAATAATTTGTGGCAGTGATTTACGAAGGGTAGTTTTGAAACTGTGGCCATGGAGTTGGAAAAGTGCCACCGGGCAGAAGGAGACATAGGGAGCCCATGGACCTTTTGGGAGCGAGGAGTTCTGGGCTCCTGCCTTACTTTCCCAACAGCTGCTCAGCTGCTCACAAAACCTGCACTCAAAAGACAGCTTGTCTTGTTTCAAAACAACTCTGTTACTGCATTTCATCCTTAATTGTTATAAAAAAATGGGAGATAGAAAAAACCAAAAGCCAACACTCTGACATAACAAAGGTGACAAGAAGTAGAGTTCTTATAAAACTGGGATGTTTGAAGGAGAAGATGTGTACATGGAATTATACTTTTGATGGAAATACATCATCACAGATGACAACAGTGGAGGGCAGATTAGGGATCATGGAGTGATTATGGTGCTCTGAGAATGGAGCCACTCCTATGCAATGTTTGCCTTTGATATGTGCTTCATGTACAAATGGGGCTGCCAGAACTTTTTTTGCTCATCATAAAAATAAATCATTGAGGCCAGCCGTGGTGGTGCACACATGTAATCTCAGCTCTTTGGGGCTGAAGCAGTAAGATAAAGAGTTTGATGGTGGAGTGTGGTGGTTTATGCCTATAATCCTAGCTTCTCAGGGGGTGGAGATCCAGAGGATTGCAGTTTGAGTCCAGCCTGGGCAAAAAGTTCTTGAGACCCCATCTTGATCAATAAAAAGCCAGGCGTGGGGCATGTGCTTGTCATCCCAGATATGAGGGGAAGTTGTAAATAAAAGCATAGAAGTCCAGACTGGCCTGGGCAATAAAAGTGAGACCCTATTAGAAAAATAACTAAAAAACAAAAAGGGCTGGGGGTATGGCTCAAGTGGTAGAGTGCCTGCCTAGAAGCATGAGGCACTGAGTTCAAACCCCAGTACCACACACACGCACACACACACACACACACACACACACACACGCACACAGAGTTCAAGGTAGCCTGGGCTGCCCAGGGGGGATGTCTCCTGGTAGCCAGGGCTGTTCTTTGTCGGTGTGGGGGGGGAGGATGAAAGAGGGTGAGGTGAGGGGCTGAGGGGGTCACTTAGTTTTTCTTATCTACTTGACTTTGCCTTGGCTGAGCTGTTTCATTGGTTGAGCCACAGTGTTCTTGTGAGACCTCTGAAGTTTCTCCTCTTTTTATTTTTATTTTTGGTGGTACTGGGGTTTTGAGCTCAGGGCCTTATGCTTGCTAGGCAGGCTCTCTACCATTTGAGCCACTCCACCAACCCTATTTTGTGATGGGTTTTTTCAAGATAGGGTCTTGGTTTCAAACCGTGATCCTCCTGATCTCTGCCTCCTGAGTAGCTAAGATTATAGGTATGAGCCATTGGTGCCTAGCTGGAGTTTCTTTTCTTTGGAAGTAAAGTCTTGCTCTACTTTGGTGACAGAGATTCACCCTCTTTGTGTGTGCAGTGGGACGAGCAGGGCATAGGTGGATGTAGCAGGTGGTAGTGGAAGGGGAATTTCTCCAGGCAGAGGCAGAAAGGCTGCTGTTTGGGGATGGGAGGCCAACCCTGCCAAGCATATGCTCTTCCTGCCCAGCAGCTGGTGGACCTCAGTAGTGTGATGGGGCTGGCTCTGAAGAAGCACGTTGAGACTGCAGCAGGTGGCTGTGGCTGACTTTTCACACCCGTGGCAGGAACACCATGGATACAGCACGCAAAGCCTGCTGTTGCTGCTGGAATTCCTGGTGGCATTGGGGCTTTGAATGTGGAGGCCTAGGTCCCTGAGAAGACTCCACCCTGAGGGAAGGTGAGAAAAGTTAGGATATTCTCCCCCACAAGAATAATAAAAAAAAAAAATTTGTTCTTTTTTTTCTTCCCCCCTTTCTTTCAGTACTGGGGATTGAATCCAGGGCCTTCTGCATTCTAGGCAATCACTTGACCTTGAGCTCTGCTCCCAGCCCTGTTGTTTATGTTGTGTCTGAGACAGGGTCTCCCTAACTTTGCCCCAGCTCCAGCACCTCCTAATAGCACCACAGACTGGGGACCAACCCTTTTACATAGGAGACTGGAAATCAAGCCATTAACACATGAGCCTTTAATATAAGTAAATCAGTAATATTATAGCAACAAATATAGTAAGTCAAATATAGATAAAATGGTGCTATAGAAAAAAGAAAGAAGGAGAAGGAGGACTGTATTCTCCAAGGGAAGAGGAGCTAGATGTGATTTTAAAAAGAATGGCCTGGCCAAGTGTGGTGGTACATGCCTGTAATCCCAGCATTTGGGAGCCTGAAGCAGGAGGATCTTGACCTCAGGGCCAGCCTGGGCTACAGAGTAAGACTCTGTCTCACAAAATAAATAAAATAAATACAATAAAATGAAAAGGGTGTTCTGAGAGTGACATTTGAATAAAGACTTGAAGGATGGGAGGGAATGAGCAGTGGGAGTATGTAATGATTTTTTTTTTTGAATTACAAATGTAGATAACCTCCTTGTCAGGAGATAGAAAGGGAAGATATCTGCTATAATTACGAGATGCATGTGAAATCAGTACATTAGTAGATACCAGAACTCAGAGTGAGAGAGAACTCTGAGAAAATGAGCTTCGGGGGAGAGAACTGGATCTCTACAAGAATAGAGCTCAAAGTCTTGATACAATTGTATATGAATCTCAAGGGGCATATTATCAAAGATTTAAATGATATACCATAGAAAGACGAACCATTATCAGAACAAGAGTTAAACAAATAGTTATTCCCTAGCACAATTAGGTCACATGCATTAATGTGACCAACTGCTTGTTGGAGTTTGCTTACAACCCACCCAGGCACTCGGGAGTCTGAGGAAGAAAAAAGCAGAAGATTTATTCAGAACTAGGAAGGAACCTATCACAAAATGTCCACTAAAGAAGAGTTGAAGTTTAAGCACATCTTTTGAGGTCAGAAATGTTAG